ACATTGTTTCGTTCTGCTGTGCATGGGGTCGCTATGAGTCGGTTCTGACTCGATGGCACCTGACAACAACAACAACATGAATAGCACCAGAATATTGTCAGATACAGTGCCAGATAAGCCCCCTCAGGTTGGAAGGCACTCGAAATATAACTGAGGAAAAGCTGCCTTTTCGAAGTAGAGTTGACCATTTTGACACAAATGAAGTAAAGCTTTTGGGCCACTCATTTGCTGATAGGGCACAACTCAAAATGGGAAACATCTGTAAATATCTATTAATAATTGGAAAATGGAATGTATGAAGCATGAATCTAGGAAAACTGGAAATTGTTAAAAAATGTAATGGAACACATGAAGATCAATATCTTAGGCATTAGTGAGCTGAAATGGACTGGTATTAGACATTTTAAATCTGACAATCATATGGTTTACTATGGAAGGGATAACAAATTGAAGAGGAATGGCATTACATTCATTATCAACAGGACATTTCAGAATCTATGTTGAAGCATAATGCTGTCTGTGAAAGGTTAATATCCATATGCCTACAAGGAAGACCAGTTAATACCACTATTATTCAAATTTATGCACCAACCAGTAAAGCTAGTGGTGATGAAATTGAAGAATTCTATCAACTTCTTCAGTCTGAAATTCATCAAACATGTTTGTATCATGTGCATATTGCAGATTGTTATTGAATCTTCCTCCAATCCTGACGGCATATTGTTTTTCTTATAGTTCAACTTCTCAGGTTATTTGCTTAGCATACAGACTAAATAAGTATGGTAAAGGATACAACCCTGGCCCACACCTTTCCTGATTTTAAACTGTTCAATGTTTCCTTGTTCTTTTATGATGACTGCCTTTGGTCTAGTGTTCTGAGATACCCATTTTTGCAATGTTATCCATAGTTTGTCATGATCCACAGTTGAAAGCCTTTACATAGTCAGTAGAGCATAAATAAATATCTTACTGGTATTTTTTGCTTTCAGCCAAGATTCATCTGATGTAATGTCCTTTTCTGAATCCAACTTGAATTTCTGGAATTTTCATGTAGATATACTGCTTCAACCATTTTTTAATTATCTTCAGCAAAATTTTACTTGCATATGATATTAATGGTATTGTTCAATGGTTTCTGCATTCCATTGGATCACGTCTCTTTGGAATGGGCACAAATATAGATCTCTTCCAATGAGTTGCTCAGGTAGCTGTCTTCCAAGTTTCTTGATATAGACAAGTGAGTGCCTCCAGTGCTGCATCAGTTTGCTGAAAGACTTCATTTTTATTTCATCACTAAGCCTTGTTTTTTTTACCAGTGACTTCACTGCAGCTTGAACTTCTTCAGTACCATCTATTCTTCATCCTATACTACCTTTTGAAATGTCTTAAAATCAACCATTTATTTTTGGTACAGTGACTCTGTGTGTCTTCCTTCCATCATTCAATAATTTCCAATAGAATCCTTCATTGTTGAAGCCTGAAGCTTGAATTTTTTTCTACAGTTCTTTCAGTTTGAGAAATGATGAACGGTTTCTTCCCCTTTGGTTTTTTTAACTCTAGGTCTTTGCACATACTTATTTGTATTCTCAAACTACCCTTTGAAATTTTTAGTTCAGTTCTTTGACGTCATTTCTCCCGTTTACTTTAGGTTCTCTACGTTCAAGAGCAAGTTTCAGAGTCTTTTCTGACATCCTTTGTGGGTTTTCCTGTCTTTTTAATTACCATTTACTTTCTTCTAGTATGATGTTCTTGATGTTATCCCACAATTCTGGTTTTTGGTCATCAGTGTCTAATACATCAGTTCATTTCATGAGATGGTCTCCAAATTCAGGTGGAATATATTGAAGGGCATTTTTTAGCTATTTTGAGCTTGATTTTCTCCAGATTCAGTCTGCACTTGGCAAATGAGCAATTGAGGAGGCAGCTCTTCCCCAGTCATATTTTGAGTGCCTTCCAACCTGAAGGAAACATCTTCTGGCACTATATCTGACAAAATTCTGGTGCTGTTCCTCATGTTTCAGTATTCAGTATTCTGGTGCTATCTGACAGTGTTTCACTGCTATTCATAAGGTTTTCAGTGGCTAATCATTCAGAATCATCCATCTCTCCTTTTTCTGAAGTTCAGCTGAAACCTGTCCACTATGATTGTCCCTGTCTGTATTCTAAATACCAGTGTCCAGCATCACAGCAACATATAAGCCACCACAGTGTGACAAACTGACAGGTAAGTGATGGAAATCTAAGTATAGGTAAAATAAATGAATACTAATACAGAGATTAACGTTCTTGTGGATTTTAAATTAGTCTGCCTTTGGAAGCATTCAGTGTACCACTGCTGTGGTGTGAGTTAGGGAAGACTTGGATTTATGAAAGTCTGAATGAAATTTGTTTCTCAATAGCAATTCTTAACC